GGTTTATGTGACCCCTTCCATTCTCAAAGTCTATGCAGGGTCTCCCCCTGCCCCAGGATGGCTCCCATGCCTGGAATCACTGACTTCAGGAAGAGCCCAGACCCAACCAAGGGCTGCCTGATTAGGTCAGGCTCATCCTAGAAAACCTCATAGGCAAATGCACCATGTAACTTAATCACAGGAGCAAACGCATCAGATTATACAAGGGTTACAGATTCTGGAGATTACTTTAGAATTCTACTTATGGTAAAGGTACAACACAGTGTCTGTCTTGCCAACCTCTTGTCTTGCTTTAGAGGGGATGACTCTGAGCAAAAGCCCAAAAAGTTACGGGCTTGGTGTAGATTAGACGCAACTCAGCCTCAAAGCCTCCATGCTTAGGAGGTGACTACAGGACAGGAGCTCAGTGGCCGACTAGCTGTGGAAGGCCCCAGCCTGGTCACAGAGGCAGCCCGTGGAGTGCAGCCCGGGAGGGCCAAGTGCAGGCCCAGCTCTGTCCTGCGCTGCTTGCTGGCCCCCTGCTGGGCACAGCCATCCCTTGCCTGAGCCCCACCACCATGCCTTCCTGCCTTGGGGCTGGGCTGCCGCCAGGGACTGAAACCCAGGCACGTGTAGGCCAAAATAAACCTCTCCCATTTAAACTCTGACAAGCATTCAATTAAACCTACTCCCACTAAACAGCATAAAAGTACTAAAATACAAAAGGTATCTACTAGTTGGTATTTTGGAGCAACATACAGGGTGTTATAAATTCATACGTTGTAGAAATCAAGAGAGTTCTTAATGAATACAGCTGAATGAGAAGACAAGCTACACATACCGATGGCGTGCGCTTCGATGGTTGGTAATCTTGTGTAGTCTTTATTTTTTATTCATATATAAACATGGATAGCAAATTATACATAATACTTTTTAAAAATCTTACTTATTTGCTACAGGGTCTCACTGTGCTTGGACTCGTAGTGATCCTCCTGTCTCAGCCTCCCCAGCACTGGAATTGCAGGCATGCACCACCATGCCCAGCTTCGGTGGCTGGCAGCGCACACCCCACGATCTGGGGCCAGCACGGCACGCGGTGCTGGGGATCAAGCCCAGGTCCTTGCGCTTGCCAAGCAGGCGCTTAGACCACCAAGCCATCTCCCCAGCCCTATAGAATGTTTTTTAAAATGTATTTTTGTTGTTTGGTTGGTTTTTGGTACTGGGGCTCAAACTCAGGACCTTGTGCTTGTCAGCAGGCACTTAAGCTACTGAGCTCTCTCCCTGGCCCTCAAAATTTATTTTTATTTTTGACTTTTGGGTAGATTTCCACATGCTCAGGTCAGGCTCCATCATTCCCCCCCCCCCCCCTCCCCCACTCTCTTTCTCACTGTCTCCCAGTTTCAGGCTTGGGGCTTCCGTTCACGGAATGAACTCCTTCCTCGTATCACACGGTCTTACACCTCTGCCCCTTCCTCCTGTCCAGTGCCAAGGCTCCCTTCTTCTTTCCTGTCATCCTTTTTAGCCTCCATACATTCTGGAGAACACGCGACATTTACCCTCCTGAGCCTGGCTGGTGGTCTCCAGGCACAGCCAATTTTCCCTCAATGGCGGAACGTTGTTCCTTTCAGTGGCTGCACCGCGCTTCACTGCGCACACAGATCGCGTCTTCTTTGTCCGTGTGCCTTGGTTACCTTCTTGTCACTGGCACAACGTACCTGGTGCCCACAGCTTACAGGAGAGGCGACCGTCTGGGCCCACGGTTAGAGGATCCCACACACAACCACCTGGCTCCGAGGACTGAGTGACCCGGCAGAGGGCCCTGATGGGACAAGGCTGCTCAGGTCGTGGAGAACCGGAAGAGGAGAGGAGCGGAGAAGGGGTGAACTGCCCAGGCCACGCCTCCAGCAGCTCGTCTCCACCAGGCCCCAGCCCTAACTGCAAGCCAGCTGTGTTGTCCCCGCCATGCAGTCACCCTCCACAAACTATCTCTGAGCCCATGAGGCCTTCAAGGGGACACCGAGATCCAACGATGACACAGTCAGTGATGGCCCCTAGGCTGGTTCCATATCTCGGCCATTAGGAACCGTGTTCCAATAAACATGGAAACGAGATATTCCCGTACTGCGCTGACTTCCATTTCCTTTGGGTGCAGCTCTACAGCGCCATGGTCTTTCTCTCAACGCGGCTTTGTAATGTGATTGGAAATTGGGTATTAGGATGCTGCCAGTCTTATTTTGGTTTTTATTTTTCTCCTTAGGATTGCTTTGTCTATTCTGGGGCTTTTGTGTTTCCATATGAATCTTAGGACTATTTTTTTCCAATTCTGTGAAGAGTGTCATTGCTACTTTGATGGGGATTGCACTGAATCCATAGATTGCTCCTGGTAACATGGCTATCTCTTTTGTTTTGTTTTGTTTTGTTTTTTCTTACTATGTAGCCCAGGCTGCTCTTGAACTCATGGCAGTGCTCCTCGCTTGGCCTCCAGTGCTGGGATTGCCACGCACAGCCTTACCATGACCATTTGAACAATATTAATTCTGCCTATTTGTGAACATGGGCGAGCTCTCCATTTTTGAGTGTCTTTTTCAATTTCTTCAGTATTCTCAAATCGTCTTCGTAGAGGTCTTTATCTGCTTGGTTAGGTCGGTCCCTCCTTGTTAGATGGGTTAGACGCTTTAACTGCTGTGAGCAGACTGTTTTCCTGAGGTTTTTTTCTTAGCTGCTCCATTCCTGGTGTATGAAAAGCCAATGACTTCTAGGGGGATGTTATATCCTGCCCTCTGGTGGTTTGTTCCTCAGCTCCACGAGCTTTTTGCTGAAGTCATTAAGATGTTCTAAGTGCAGGTTCATACGAAACAAGGGTACTCTGACTTCTTTCCTTCCTATTTGTTGGAACCAGACCCTGATCCTCTGTCAGAGTTCACGTCCTGGGCATCTTGGGTTTGCTCCCTGGCCCTGCTGATTCCTGCTGTGTAACCCACGAAAGCTGTCTGGTCAGCCTGTGCCTGGGTCCTTTACCTGTAAATTAGAATCATAGGAGTAATTCATCAAGGGGTGTGTGTGTGTGTGTGTGTGTGTGTGTGTGTGTGTGTGTGTGAGGCAGGCTCAAGCCCTGCAGCCCAGGCTGGCTGGGAGCTTGCAGAATCATCCTGTCTTGGCCTTCTGAGTTCCAGGGTCACAGGCATGCCCGCCACACTCAGCCACTTTGATGAGGCCCTTAGAAACATGGAACAGTTTAGGGCTATCACTTCCCCTGTGCTGGGCGAAGATGGAATCCTCAGAGGTGTTCTTTCTCCAAATCCTTACAGCGAGCCTGTAAACACTATCTCTGACTCATCTAGCAGATGAGAAAATGCAGGGCTACAAGGCTGGGTGACTTCAGGGCCGTACCAGGTACAGAGGCCCCAGCAGGCTGCACAGAACCGGCTGCTGCTTGAGATGTCACTGCTCACCCCCAGCTACTCAGATGGAGGAGGGCCTGAAGGTGGGGACTTGTTTCTATGAGTCAGAGTCAAGTCATTTTGTCACGCTGGGAGTTTCAGCACAGGTTACCGCATGGTTGGGAACCTCAGCAAGTTGCTCCATCTGGCCCCGGGATTCCCAGGATAGCCTTGCAGGACAGTCTGGTAAATGTAAATCAGAGTGTGGCATGCTCCAGCTCAAACCCTCCAAGGTACTCCCGTGGCTATTCCCATGAGCCCAACTTCCCACTCCTATTTCCCTTCCAGCCCCTGACGTGTCTTTCCTTCTGCTGCCCTGCTGGGCTTCTCTGGACAAGCTCCTTCCAGATTCCCAGCAGTTGGGCTTCCTTCCTCCTTCCTGGGCCGTCAGCCTCTCACCTGTCAGGCCCTTCTCTTCTTTCCAGTGTGAGTTCAAAGCAGCCCTCTCTCTCTAGAGGCCACACTTGGCCAGGGCGCCTAACCCAGAGTCACTCCCCTACTCAGCCACATTACTGCCCTGTTGTCTGTGTTGCACTCAGCACACTCTGAAAGCATCCTCCTCGCAGGGATTACTTCCTGTTTCTCTCCCTATAATAGAAATCATGGATGCTCAAGTCTTTTCTTTTTTTGCGGGGGCGGCATGGGGGATTGTACTCAGGACCTTGTGCTTGCCATGAGCTACCTCCCCAACAATGCTCGTCTTATGTATTAAAATGGCACCACAATTCTACATACTGAAATCATCGCTCGACCAGTGACAATGTTTAATCCGACATAAACGCTGTGCCAAGAGCCACCACACCTCATTCTTTAGGGGATGCTGTGGAAAGTCTGCACACACTCAACACAGGTGTCATTTTATCTTCTAAGGGTTTTCATTTGACCGCTAGTTGTGTCTGATCTGCCAGTCCCTTAAAGACCATCGCGCTTATTATCTACTGAAGCAGTAATCACAGCGACTTCATGTCTGCTGTTCGCGGCAAATGTAACAGGTGCTCAATACGTACTGCTAAAGGGAGTGCGTTGATTGAACCGACCGATTTCCGTTTCCATGAGGAAAACAAAGAGCCTGCCGCCAAAGGGGACGCCAGGCTGTCCAGCCGCGGCGCAGTGGGCGCAGGGCCTCTGTGCAGATCACAATTTGGCAGAGATGAGGGCAGAGAGAAACGCTCCCCAGGAGCCAAGCAAGGCCTAGGGATCACAGAGGGCCTGATTTTGCCCCGGGGTGGCCTGCAGGGTCGCAGGTCAGCAGAGTGAGTGAAGAAGGGCAGCCGAGGTGAAGCCGAGGACGCAGCAAAGACTGGAGGGAAGAACAGCACAATGTCGCTGCAGGGAAAAGGTGCCGAGCTGAAGCACCCGACTCCCGGAGCTTCCAGGCAGGAACAGACCTCATTACCGGTCCAGGAGAGGCTCGTCGCCAATTGGCTGCAGCGATGCCCAAAGGCCCGCCTCCATCACTGATTGGATACCAGTCTGTTAAGGTCCCGCCCCCCTGGTGCAGTTTGGGTTTTTTGCAGCCCTGTTGCTTGGCAACCAATTGGCGTCCTCCGGCGGTGCTGGCACACCCAGGAAGCAGAAAGGACGCTTGCTAGCCCGTCCTGACGCTTGCACGTCTCCCTCCCTCTTCATGCGCGACTGCGGGGGCTCATTCAAATTTGTCTTGCGGAACACGCAGAGATGAGCAGGACCTCAGTTTCCCTACCGGAAGCCCTTGGGTAAAGGGGTCCGAGGAGGAAAAAAGTTACCGTGCTATTTCAAACTTAGAAGCCGCGCATCCCGGGAACGTTCGGGGTTCCAGAAAATAGTCGCTTTCCGTCAGTTCTTGGGTGTATGGGAGGGGGGCCCCAATCCCCAGATAAGTGGCTTTCAATAACCCTGAGCAACAGGACGGGACAGACCCCGGCTGCTGGCCATGTACAGCCGGGCTTATTCCTTGCTCCAGAGAGACTTCAGAGAGCTCATGAGGAAAAGTTATAAGGTGAGTCCTGCGATGGGGGTCTCATTGGGTCATGATTTTTTTAAAAAAAATTTTTATTTATTTATTTGTGTGTGTGTGTGTGTGTGGCCAGCTCAGCCCACCAGGGGGCGGGGCTGGCTGGCATGTGGTGCTGGGGGATTGAACCGCGGTCCCTGTGCTTTGCTAAGCTTGTTCTAAGTAGGTGCTTTAGACCACTGAGCCATCTCACCAGCCCCTGGGTCATGAGTTTTAAGAGGCATGATCCGCAATGATTCTATAAATCGTGATTTAATTAAGCCTAACTTGACATGATACTATTATTTTAACAAATAATAAGTTACGATCACTTAGCAGTAAACATGGCAGAAAGCATTGAATACATGGTGCTGAGTAGCACGCTGAATCTGAGCTCAGAGTATCGGTTTCTATCAGATACAGTTGATGTGGGAGCGTGCCCGGGAATTCTGTACTGTAACAGCAGTACTGCACCTTACCTGCCGGAAGCCTCAGGCCTGAGGGGCTTGGGCCCGGGATTCCACCCGGCTTCTGAGCCCACAGCGCTGCTCTTGATTCCCGCGTTCTGCGGCTTACCGCCCTGCGCATGTCCCAATGAAGTTGCTGGTGTCTGTGGGACTGACTTACGGAGATGAAAAGAGTGGACGAGAGGGACCAGAAGGAAAGCGTGCGCCGCTGCCGCAGGCGCTGCGGGCTGCCGCGGGGTGGGCGCCGCCTTCATCCTGCTGTGGGGAGCCCGGAGAGACCCTCGCTAGAGAGGTCCGGAACAGTCAGCACGTTGGCCAGCGGAGATCCCAGCAGCTGGCCTGACCTCTGTTGTGTTTCTGGGCGTTCTGCAGTTCTCGGGTGAAAGAGAATTCCATGAAGGGGCATATAAGTGTAGCTGAGCGAGAGGAGCTGAGCTACGCATGCGGGCACGCACTCAGTCTCCTTAATAACTATGTTTAGGTAGAAAACATATTGACTGAATTGTTTCAGTAGAGTTAATTAAATCTTGTCCCCCCACTGGAACTCTATTTCAATAGGAAAAAATAACTTTTATGTGCAAGTCTAATTTTAAATTTATTTCATAAAGAGAAAGTTTCCAGGTGGACATGGTGGGGTGTGTGTAGAGTCCCAGCCTTCTCGGAGGCTGGGGCAGGAGGGTCACAGGTTTGATCCTAGCCCGGGCAGTGTAGTGACTTAAGACTTTGCCTCAAAATAAAAGGGGGGCTGAGGATGTACTCAGTTAGAAGACCCTGGGTTCAGTCCCCAGGACTTCAAGAGAAAAATGAAAGAAAGAAAGAAAGAAAGAAAGAAAGAAAGAAAGAAAGAAAGAAAGTAGCTCTGGCTGTGTCCAGCTGTCCCCCAGGTCTCGTGCTGTCACGGGGGTCTTTTCAGAGGTGGCTGGATCCCGGGTGTGTGACTCATTTCCAGTGTGACACTAGCCTGAGGGGTGCAGGTGCCTGCCCTCCTAGAAACAAGGAAAGGGACAGAAAGAGGTAAGCTGCTCGTGAGGAAGGCTGTCACGTTGCTGGCTGCCCCGTCTTCTGGGCCACGGATGGCCTGTGCTCCGCAAGCCTCGCTGCTGTGCCACCCCGCCTTGCAGCCAGCTAACTATGAACTGAAGCTCTACCAACTGTCAGCCAAACAAACCTTTCCTCCTTTAACTTTTTTTTTGTTTTCTGTTTTTTGGGTTTTTTTTATTTTAGGGAAGGGTCTACAGGGTGCTCAGGGTCTCACTACTAGATTGGACGCATAGTGATTCGCCTGTTTACAGCCTCCCAAGAGCTGGGATTATAGGTGGGCGCCACCATGCCTGGTCTCCTCTCCTTTAACTTTGGAGTAGGGTGTTTTGTCTGAGCAATGAGCAAAATGAGGCTGAAAGAAAAATAGAGTATTCTGGGCTGGGAGATGCTCGGTGGAATAAGTGCTTGCCCGGCAAGCGCAAGGGCCTGCGTTCACCCTGGTACCACCACCACCAATAACAATAAAATAATAATAATAATAATAATAATAATAATAATGCATTCCTACTTCCATATGTCATCCAGTCTTCTAAAGCTTTGAAGAAGTGTACGCCTTCCAACTACTTCCTTCTTGACTTGAATCTTAATTTGGCCGCTGAGCCACACAGACGCCGTGTGGTCATCTCACCCACGACCCTTTTGCACTACGTGTTATCTCTACATTGCAGTTATGACTAAGTGTGGGTTGAAGCTGGGCTTCCGTGTAGTAAGACACGTAACACCTGTCTAGGGCCATGTGTACACATACTCTGTGAGGGGAAGACATGTGGGCTTTGGAGTTCAGTGTAGCCTGGTATCTGATTTGCAAAGCAGTCATCTTTTCGTCTAATTTTGCTTTCCGCTTGAAGGGCATCACTGCTTCTCCCATCAGTGAGGACATGATGCAGTGGAAGGCGGACATCCAAGGTCTGCAGAACTCACCGTGGCAGGGTTTGTATTTTCAAAGCCAACTTATTTTTTAAATAGTTCCTACTGTTGATAGTCTGCTTGCTTGATGTGCACAGTTACACTGCATCAGGCACTTTTCTGGAACGCTTTCTAAGGTTGCGTGATGTCATGTCTCAGAATTTTAAGAGGATTCAGAAATTTATTGTATAACTTTTCTTGCCTCTTAGCATGAATTGACATTTTTTGATTGCTGTTTTCCTTCATGCCAAATCTTAATTTTTAAGATGTATTTTGTTTTGGTCTTTTGTTGTTTTTGTTTGCAGTGTTGGGGATCAAACCCCAGGGCAAGGGTTCTTACGATGCCATTACTTTTTTTTTTTTTTTTGGCAGAACCGGGGATTGAACTCAGGCCCTTGCGCTTGCCAGGGAAGCGCTTATTCCACTGAGCCATCTCCCCGGCCGCTGCTATTACATTTTTAAGATGCAAACAAAACAAAGCATATGGACTGAGAATGTCTTCTAAAGGTCCTCCCCGAGGGGCCTGCTGGCTTCCCAGTCATTTCTCACTTTTCTCTCAACATTTTCCCCCCGAATTTCTATAAATCAGCGTGAGCTGCAAGGACGTCTTGCACTTCTGGTCCTAGGTTTGTGAAATGTGGGATGCACTGCTGGGAGGGGGGCACGTGGTCCTGGAGGGGGGAGAGGTTTGCTCACCACGCCCCGGGGAGCCGCTTCCCAAGGAAGGGGCGCCCCAAGAACTTGTGGGGGAGAGGGCGAGAAGGAGGGAGGAGAGAGGAGAGGGAGAGGGAGAGGGGAGGAGGTGTGAGCTGCAAGGGAGGGCTGTGGGCCGGAAGCAGCTGGCCACCTAAAGGGTGCTCCGGTAGCCCAGGCACCCAGGGAGGAGACGGAACAGAGCAGCCTGAACCGGTGAATCGTATAGCAAGACACCGCCCTGAGACTTCTGTGTTTCTCTACCACAGGATTAGTTTTTGAACTTGCGATACATTTTACACCAGACTACAACTTTGTCCCTCCGGCTGTGAGATTCGTAACCATTCCTTTTCACCCAAATGGTAAGGACCAATAAATAAGAAAAGACAGCAGCATGCATGTCCCAGTTTGCTGCCTTATTCCCTTCTAGTGCTTAATATTCATGCATCCTTAACAACTTCGTGAGTAAGAATATTTACTGGAGAAAATAGGAAAAGTCAGAAAAGTCACAACCACCTTGAATTCTAATGTCTTTAAGAGATAAACTACTTTGAACATTTTGCCAGATAAATTTCCCTTTCCTGTGTATATAGATTTTTTTTCTGTGTAGTTGAGGTATTACAAAGTTTTGTATCTAGCTTATTTGCAATTACATAAATCTCCCACATTGTTAAATATTTTTTACTGTTTCAAAAGATCACTTAAAGTGATTTAGGGCTGGGGAGATGGCTCAGAGCCCTTAGCTCCTACCTGGCAAGCACAAGGTCCCGAGCTTGATCCCTGGAGCCCTGGGCGCACCTTGTGGCCCCCAAGCCGTGGGTGGAAGGGCACACCTGCAAACCCGTGGATGTGGAAGACCTACTCCCCACTCAACATCCATGAACATGGGAAATTTTAAGGAAAATATCCTCCATCGTGCATATTGCCACTAAAGAAACAGGGAAATCTGTAAGCTGGACCTGCTGGTTATTTCTGCCTCCCTAGAGTCTTCTGCACTGGGGTGTCAGTGGGAGATCAGGTAGGTTTTGGATAAATATTTGTGTCTGGAAATAAGTAGACAATTCAGTGTTCAATTAAAACCACATTGCATGACAAGGTGTGTAAAGTACAGTGTCACTCAACCCACGCTCATGTGCACATGGATGTCCCATGGCCTTTGCGTGGGCCACTGGCAAGAACGGCAGCATGCAACCATAAGCAAAGAACATTCATATTCTACTTTTTATTCCCCTATGTACTTGCCCCAAGTATCTGTGTAACTAAAACCTATTTTTGAAAACATATAACACAAAATTGTGTATGTGTACCAGTCACACTTAAAATACTTAGGCCATTTCCAGCCTGAGCCTGATGGGGGTTGCTCTGCATCTGGTCCCCACACTGCTGTCTCCATAGCAGACAACAGGGGGCAAGAGGCCCATCTCTTTCTCTGCATCTCACCAGCCCACCCTGATGGAGGAAGGCCATGGTCTGTTTCTCCAGGCTGGAAACTGAGGCAGGCCTTCAGCTGGGATGGGTCAGATCGGGGGGCCCAAGTGCAGCCCCTGGTCCCATGCATCCTCACTGCCGTCCTCCGTGCAGCGAAGCTGATGTTGGAACATCTGCCTCTTGGGGTGCCTGACACTTCATTACACAGGAATGCGACAGGCTGGGAAGGCTGTTCCTCAGCTGCCAGGCCTGGAAAGGCGGCCATGGAATGTTTGACGTCTGCGTATATCAGAAGCCAAATTGCCTGTCAGTGGTATTTTCTTCCATACCAGACAGTACTTGTGAAGTTCTCTTTTTGGAGTCTTCTAATATTGGGTATAGAAACTTGGCTGGGGGTGGGGGAGAAGCAGGCTCTTTATACAAATCTTGCTGTTGTTGGAACAAGAACTTCTTTGAACACTTAGGAAGTAAACGTTTTAATGTTTGATTGTATTTGTTCCATGATTACCCGACATAACTGACAGCATTACCATGCTGTCCTAGATGGCGCAATTTGTTGGTAATTTTAAATTTTATTTACACTGGGGCTTTTTGCATCTATAGTTTAAAATTTTTATGTATTCAAATATTAATTTTGGGGCTGACCAGATAGCTCAGCAGATTAAAACATCTGCTTAGGCTGACACAGGGACCAGGATTTAATCCCTAGCGTGCCACACTGGCTCCACCCCTGGGCACACTGAACTGGAGATTAAAATTGGGCATGATGGTACACACCTGTAATCCCTACACTTGGGAGGCTGAAAACAGGAGGATTACTACAAGTCTGCACCGTGTTCCGTAATACTTTTAATTATCCCAGGTAATTCCTATCAGGATTACTACAAGTGTAGTGAGACCCTGTAGACCCTGTACTAAAATACATTTTTAAAAATGTAATTTTGTCCTCAGAGGATGTATAATTATTTTTAAACTTAAAGAGCTTTTCCCAAAAGAGTAGTTGAATTTTCTTCTAGTTATTCTATATTTATTTTTTATATTTAACTCTCTCTGGAGTGGATTTCTTTTTTTTTTCATTTTTTTGTATTTAGGACAGGGTGTACAGGGTGTATAGAATCTCACTGCATAGATTGGACTCATAGTGATCCTCCTGTTTACAGCCTCCCAAGTGTTGGGATTAAAGGCGCGCGCCACCACAGCCAGTCTCGGAGTGGATTTCTTACAAGTGGCCAGCTTATTATACCCAGCTGAGCTGAACTAGCATGGTGTTGGGTGCGGGAGGCCCACCTGAGGGTTGTTGCCGGCAGCATAAAAGGTAGAACTGGAGAAGCTGTTGGTAAGCTGTTGGGGATGCTATGTGGAGAAGCTGCTGGAGCTAGCGGAAGCCACTGGTCCTCCTGGGCCATTCTGCTGGGGGACGGTGTCAGGTTGGCTTTCCTGATGAATTTGGCTGTTCATGTTAGAGGAGGCACTCGGGGCCTTCATTGTCCCTGAGGATGCCCATGGTTCATTTTGGGGGAGCTCTGGTTCTGTCTTGAGCATCGCTGCCTGGCTCTGGAGAGCAAGATGGTACCCTGCTCAGCCTTGTGGAGAAGGCTGTCCCATCGGCTTCCCTGGTTGCTGGAGGAGCTCGGGACCTCCCTGTTGCTGAGGAGGGCTGTGGTGCCTTGGTGCTTGCCCTGAGCAGTGCGTCCCGGCTCCAGTGCAGGTCCCTCAGCCTGCTAGCACAGATCCTTCCTCCCAGTGTCATAGACTTTCTAGCCTCCACCACCAACCTTTGGGCCTCCCCAGTGCACATCCATGAAGTGGAACGGCAGGAGGCTTAGTCATGGGCTCTCGGCCTCCAGCTGGACTCGTGGGAGGCGTTGTTATAAGCCCCAGGATTTCAGCTGGACGCATGCACGATGTTGGGGTCCGGCGGACTCTGCTCTGTAGTATGTGGCCAGATATACTGCACTTCTTCTGCATGAATCTTTGGGTGATTCCTTATAAATTAATATTGTAAAATGTGCCCTGTATTATATTGTTCCCCTTGGCCATGGTACTCCTTTACTTTTAAATACTGGATTGGTTTAATTAGCTGTGTCAGGCAATAAGCCAAGCTGTCGTGGCTCCTTCTCAGACGTGACAGACCGGGGCTGGAGGAAAATCTGCCGCATCCTCAGCCGTGGGCTCCATTTTCAGGTCTACGGCGTTTGTTCTCCCGCGTTTCCACCCAGTGGAAGGCAGTACAGGGAGGCAGAGAGAAAAAAGGCAGAACAGCTTCGGATTCAGAAATCGCACCTTACTTCTGTTTGAGGCAAAAACTGCCACACGACCACATCTTGCTGGAAGGCAGGCCAGGAGATCGGTGTGGACTCCTCCGCGCTCAGCCGGGGGAGGGGAGTGCGGCGCAGTGCTTCTCACCGCAGAAAAAGAAATAGAAGGAGAGACAGAGGAAAGCAAATTGTTCTGGTTTATCATTTTGATGTATATAAACTTTCAATAGTAATTTTATTATATATGTCCATACTACTCTCTGTCCATTAATGTTACCTACATCATATTTTTTCCATACAGTAGACCCTGATACTGGTGAGCCCTGTATCGATTTTTTAAACAACTCTGCTAAATGGAATTCAAGGTACACGCTGGGCAGCATCCTGCTTGCCCTACAGGTAAGAACGGATGCGCCGTGTTCTGTAATACTTTTGTTGTTATTTTTTTGCGGAACTGGGGATTGAACTCAGGCCCTTGCACTTGCCAGGGAAACACTTATTCCACTGAGCCACTCCCCAGCCCCCATAATACTTTTAATTATCCGAGGTATTCCAAACACAGGATTAAAATGCACAATGCATGTTTAGATGGTTTGAGGGTTTGCCCAAGCTTCTGTTAGGCAGCATTTCTCTAACAAGGCTACAAAATAGAACTTAAATGATAAAGCCTATTAGTTCAAATTGAAATTGATACTGAGCCCTTCACAGCAAAAAGTACATACATTTTATAAAAGAAGACAGCCAGGAAATAGCTCAACAGCATAAGCGCCTGCCTGGCAAGCACAAGGTCCTAAGTTTGATCCCTGGAACCCAAAATAAATAAATAACAAAAAAGAAGAAGGCAGTAATTGCTTGGGCGGCTTCCGTTGTGTGCACATCATCCTAGGTTCTCCCGGCTCCTAACTTTAGTCCCAATGCTGCACCGGTCTTGCACTTCTGGCTTCACTCAGGGCCTCGCCTCACCCCTGACGGCGAGCCACGTGACACATCCCAGCGTGCCCAGCTTTCCCCCGGGTGCCCGTCAGTCCTCACTAGTCCTCTTGTTTTTGTTTGATTTGGGTTATTTTGAGACAGGATCTTGTTATGTAGTCCAGGCTGGCCTTGGACTCACTGGGCCGCCCAGGCCGGTGGTGTCCCCCTGCCTCAGCCTCTCAGGTGCCACTGCTCTTACGAGTGCTTCGTCACTGCAGTGTCCTTGTCAGCCAGAGCGAGAACATGTGTCTCGTTCTTCACACTGGAGAGATGGCTATTTTCCAAATCCCACTGTTCCCGGGGCCCGCAGCCCATAGGGGGAGCCCTCTGGCTTGTGTTGCTCCTGGTTCTTTAAAAGCCCTTTTTTTTTTTTTTTTTTTTTTTCTTTTGGCGGAACCAGGG